CTCGGCTCCGCTCTCGACCGGGGATCCACATCGGCTCCGGAGCTCCCTTTAAAAGCTCGTGTTCTGTTCTCGAACTTTCTTCTTTTTCTTCTTCCTTTCTTTTCTCCTCAGCTTTAGGATACTCGTTGCAGTCGCTCAGCTAGTTGTCAATACACTGAGTTGAGACCGTTACAGGGCCGTATTGTACCTTCCACTCAGGGCAATGTTCCGGTGGCTCCAAACTTCTTCCTCCTCGCCAAAGGCCCCGATGTCCCTCCGTCAGTTGTACGACGGCAAGCATGCTATGTCGGAGCACTCGGCGCGAGAGGTATCCACAGCTTACACTCGTATGGGCGGTCGGAGCAGCAGTATGACAACACGGCCTACAACCTCACGGCAACATACCACGACGGCCATCTCAAAATGTACACCACCCATTTGATTCCACCGCTTCCGCAAAAGGACCAACCTGGATATGTCATGACACTGGTGGACACCTGGAGTTTGACCCATAATACCGACGCTTTCCGAGAGGGAGTTGCAGCATTTCGGAACGGCATAGACTGGGCAGAGCAGCAGAGAGAGCGGGCTATCCAGCAAGCAAATGAAAAGGCAGCGGAAGCTGAAGCACATCCCTCTGATGATGGTTCGGGGGCTGAAGCTGAAGCCTCTTCCTCTGATGATGGTTCGGGCCCGGAAGCTGAAGCCTCTTCTACTGATGATGATGGTCTGGGGTTGAACTTCGCGAGCCTGGCGATAGTTGGCGATACGATTTCTACCAGCCACGAAATAGTCCCGGGCCTACCCTCCGCCGTGGCGCCCGCCTACGAGTCGGATACCTCGGCAGATAAGTAAAAGACCATGCTCGGTCAAGGCTTGGCGCAAGAGACGTGACGAAGCGAGGGAGGCACGAATGGCTTCAAAGCGAAGAGGGGAGCTAGAGGTTGGGACGCGCTGGTGGTGACGTGTGGGAGGCACGGGTGGTTGTAAGGATAGAGGGAAGCTGGAGGCCGGAGGGAGTGGCGACTGGACGTGAGGGAGGCGCATATGGCTTTAAGGTCAGAGTGGGGGCTGGCTGGGAGGTTGGGAGGCGTGGGGACGTGATGGAGGCACGTATGGCTTCAAGGTGACATGGAAAGGGGAGGCTAGGAGGTCAGGAGGCATGGGGACGTGAGGGAGGCACATATGGCTTCAAGGTCAGAGCACGAGGTGGGCTGGAGGTCGGGCTTTCTATAGTATGCAGGGTTTCTATAGTATGCAGGGTTTCTATAGTATGTAGGCTTTCTATAGTATGTAGGCTTTCTATAGTACGTAGGCTTTCTATAGCATGTAGGACACAATCGATTGATGCTTTAGCCTTTGTGAAAGAGTAGTGTTATTCGTAGAGCCAACTCTTGCTAGTTGCAGAGCCCGCCCGCAGCACCAACAGTAGCAACGACAGCAACGACAGCAATAATCAGCGCGCCAGTGCCATCCCATGCCTACGCAATTAACATCTCGGCCGCGCCATACATGTACCCCCATGCTACGCTAGCGAAAACATGCACGTAGGACGGCAAAAATACGGCTCTGCGGGTAACACTACTCACGTGAAAACAGGTTCCTGCATGCCAGGCAAGCATCAAGAAGGCTCTGGGTATCACAACTCTCTTCGTTGTACATGGAAAAGTGTCAACTCTTGGCGGCAGTCATTCTTCTGCGCCCATCAGCCTCCCAAGGCAAAACTCATACTCATCGTCCTCCACGTCCTCCCCCTTCTGCTGCTCCCCCTCCTCCGGCAGCAGCACGTCGCTCCACGACGGACCGTGCGCCCTCTTCTGCGCGAGGTATTCGTCGCGCTCGACGCCCTCCTCGCCGTGGTCCTCCAGCTCGCCCATCTTCTGCCAGCTCCAGTATCCGCCCGCACCCAGGCCACCGTCCCCGTCATGGCGACGGCCCGTCTCGTCGACGACGCGCTGCTCCTGGTACTCGCCGTAGTCCTCCTCGTCCTCCGACACCTCGCCCACCTCGAGCACCTGGAACTTGGTCCCCGACGCGGGCCCGTACCCGTAGGGGAAGTACTTGGCCGCCCTGGCAAACACGGCCTCCTTTGCGCGCTGCCTGTCGCCCGCAAACAGCTGCGAGGGCGCCTCGCCGTCGTGTAGGCGCGGGTGCGTCTTGCCGCGCGCCTTGCTCGCCTGCGCGGCGGCCCACGCAGCGTACTCGGCCGGGTCGTCGGGCACGTCCGCGAAGAAGCCGGCGTTGTCGCCGTCGCCCCAGTCGAGGTGCACGACATACACGGGCAGGATGCGCGGCGGGTCGAAGACGACGTACTCGAGCCCCCCGTTGGCGACGTGCGAGTCGGCGCCCTCGTGCGGCTCGTCGCTGTCGCGCCACCCGTCGTCGCGGAACATGGGCCGCGCGCGGCCCATGAGCGTCGCGCACACAATCAGCTTGACGCCAAAGTAGCTCCCCGGGGTGGTCCGCCCGCACCAGCGGTCCGCGTACGCCAGCCCGAAGCCCGCGTCGGGCGAGCTGTAGATGCCGCGCCCGTACGTCGCGCCGCAGCGCACGCCGTGCTCCGCGCCCGTCGCGGGGTCGCGCATGCCCGGCCGCAGGAACCCGTGCCGCACGATGCTCGACACGAAGCGCCGCTGCGTGCCGTGGAAGGTGAGCCGCGGCCGCGACAGGTGCTCGACGTAGTCGGCCACGCGGGCGCTGCGGTGGCACAGCTGCGGCGGGGCGTGCCGGCGCAGCGTGCTCAGCGGCAGCGAGGAGAGCTCCGTGCGGAGCTGTGCGAGGGCGCGGTCGAAGCCCACGGCGAGGTCCTTGCGGAGGACCTCCTCGACGTGCTGGACGCGGTACCGCGGCGGGATCATGCCGGCCACGGCCTGCGGCGTGACGCCGAGGTAGCGCTGCGCGAGTTCGCTGCACGAGAGCGTGCGCATGTCGACGCCCTGCTTGATATCAAAGTCGAGCCGCGGCGTCGCGTGCCGAGTCTTCTTGACGGGGGTCTTGCGCAGCCGCTCCGCGCGGAACAGCTCCATCGCGCGGTTCGCCTCCTCGACCATCAGCGTCACGACCTTGGAGTAGTCGAACTCGGAGCCGTCGCACGCATCCACCCAGGCGTGCAGCCGCTCGAGCGTGTTGACGAGCGTGCCCTCGGCGATGATGCCGCGCAAGCGCCTGCGCAGGGCGTCGACGGGGTCCACGGGCATGCTGCGGTTGCATATCTCCCACGCCGGCTGCGCGATGGGGTACGCCGGCCCGGGAGTGATGTGCAGCGCCATCTCGCCGTACTCAAAGGTGACGGTTGACTCGAGCGGCGCGTCCCATCGACGGTCCGCACCGAGGTGGCCCGCCTCGACCAGGCCGTCGGTTTCTTCGTCGCGCAGGACGGACAGCTGGACGAGGTCGTCGTCGGAGGGCTCGCCGGCCTCGGCCATGGCCACAGGGCCGGCAAGATGAGCAGACAGTTTGTATATCTCTCTCGGTGTGTATCGAAGCCAATAGCGGAATTGGATGCTGATTGTGTAAGTCGTCGCGAAGCTCCGTCATATAAGTTGTGTCGTCTGTCCCAACAGAGTTCCTGGGTCAATTGTCGGTAGCGCAACAAGTTTCAACGTATCCATAAATGGCATGCTTGCAGCTTCGTCCGCATCTCGGTCGCTCCATAGGTCTGTCTTATACACGATGTGCTGCGCTGCGACGTAGCTACGGCTCTCTTGAGTCACTCGGCGCGCCTGACGGCCGGGATGCGCCTCAGCCCCCCAACGCTAAGTAGGCCCAAGCCACGCCCGCTCAGCCTAACCGGCCGGCTCCCTCTTCCTGCGCTGGTGCAAGGTTCGCGGCATGCAAGTGCCCGCCTTGGAGAGACAGAAAAGGTCTAGATTATTAAAGGCTCTAATGTCGTGTGTATATACATGTCCGTGCGGAACTCCCTATGCCCCGTGGCCTTGTCGAAACGCTCATATTGATGCATGTTTCCGTCCGGGTTCTATGCTTTCCCGAATTTTCCTTTGCTTCCCTGTCGCACGATCCCGCCTCAACGCCAGCCCCAATCATACAACGTCTGCTCGCTCACTGGGCCGGCTTGCGGCCGACCATGAGGTACATGGGCGTAAAGAGCTTCTCGCGGCCGCCGGCGACGAGGCAGTCGGCGGCGAGCGCCAGGCTGTCGGCCGTCTTCTTGGTGCCGGCGGGCGCAATCTTGATCATCTCCAGGAAGCCGGCCAGGTTGTGGGCAATGGTGCGGCCCCAGGTGGTCATGCGCACAATGGTGAAGATGTCGCCGACCGACTGGATGTAGCGCAGCTCGCCCGACAGCGGCCAGTACCAGGGCGACGGGTCGGGACGGTCTGCCAGGTCCTCGTTGCGCAGCAGCTCGAAGCCGGCCGCCTTGATGGCGTCGAGAGCCTCGCTGACCTTGCACATGTTGGAGATGCCGTCGCCCTGCTCGATGCCGAGGCGGATCTCGCGGTGGTGCAGGTTGTTGTTGTCGTACTCGTCCGTCATGAGCCACTCGTAGACGCCAAAGATGCCGCCGGGCTTGAGCACGCGGAAGATTTCGCTGTAGATGCCCTCGAGCGTGGGCGCGTGGACCGTCGCCTCGATGGCGTAGACGGCGTCGAACGTGTTGTCCTCGAACGACATTTGCTGCCGCATGTTAGCAAGCGCATACAGGCTGCCGCAATGGGTGTATCTGGGGTAGGACCCACCATGAAGTCGCCCTTGACAAAGTCGAGCTGGTTCGACAGCCCCTCCTTGGCGGCGTAGTGCGTAGCGCGCTCGATCTGGTAGTCGTTGTTGTTGAGGCCGGTGATGTGGGCGCCGGTGAACTTGGCGATCTCGCGGGCAGGGCCGCCAACGCCGCAGCCAACGTCGAGGACCTTCATGCCCTCCTTGATGCCCATGCTGTGGGCGAGGTAGTGCTCGTGACGGGCAATGGCCTGGTAGAAGGGCTCGCCGACGGAGAAGCGGCAGAAGTGGAAGGACTGGCCCCAGCCGTACTCGTACAGGTCGGTGGCGAGGTTGTAGTAGCTGCGCGAGGGTGTTAGGGATGTGTTGGATGTCCGGCGGCCGGCAGGGTCACTCACTGTCTCGTCAGGGTCGCGTACTCGGCGGTGCGAGCCTGGAAGCGTGTGGTCAGTCTCGGGGGGGCTCGCGCTCGACGGGGTCACGGGTTGGACATACGGCGCGCTCCTCGGCCGTCTCGTTGGCGGCGGGCTTGTTGTCCCAGTGCTTAAAGTACTCGTCGACGGCCGCCTTCTTGGCGTCGGCGCCCTTGGAGAACATGGCGGCGATGCCACCGCGGGCCTGGGCCGACTTGCCGTGCATGGCCTTGTTGAAGGCGGCATCGCGGTTGTGGTCCTCGCGCTCGAGGTTGGAGGCGGTGGAGGAAACCATGTTGAAGGTTGTGCTGGTCTGTCGGGGAGGCGGGCGGCAGGCAGTGAAGTGAGGGCACTGGACGAAGAAGCAAACAGCGGCAATGCGTGAAGGGGGAGAGAGAGGTGGGCGTTGCGGGCGTTGCGTGGGATCCCCAGTGGAGGCGGGAGGTTTTATGGCCTGACCTGGGACTCGCATCGCAATTTCGCGGGCCTCTCAGTCTCTTTTTTTTCCGCACATGCCAATTGGGCTGCCCCTGACTACTGCACTCCGGCCAGCGCTGCCACTGTCGTTAGTGCTGGCTGGGGCGGCCGCAATCTGAGATTTGCTGCCCGCCCGGGTCCGGGGGAGGGCAGGATTGGGCAGGCGGTGGAGCCACAGCCGCGTCCCGACACGAATACGAACGCGAACCCTGGATGTGAATGCGAACCAATCCGTCTGGATGCGAGCGGGGCCCTCGACGACGCCCTGGAGGCGCCTCTGGGCATGGCTGGACGGCTGGAGGTCTTGCGCTACAAAGGCTTGAGGGGCCCTACGACCGGCAGTGGCACTGCCACAGGCCCTGGCGGCCGCCAACGAGCCTCCAAAAAGGGGGCCTTGCACTGCAACGAGGCTTAGTCACTCGCGTCGGGCTCGTGCCCCACCTGTATCGATAAGATTCCAAGTGCGTTAGTCAGCGGCCAGCACCACGCTCTGCCGGTGGCGGCACTGTTCCTTGACCGAGCGCGCGTGTGCTGGCCAGCCAGCGATAAGATTCTGACGGCACAGACGGACAGCGCTGACGCCGTCGACGTCGCTGCTTCACCTACCCATCATCACCCGCGTCGTCGCGCGCCCGTCGCCGTCGCCGTCGTCGCCACAGCATCCGTCACCATGCCGCCCCAGATCAAGCAGGACCTCAACCGCTCCGGCTGGGAGTCGACCGACTTCCCGTCCGTCTGCGAAAACTGCCTGCCCGACAACCCCTACGTCAAGATGATCAAGGAAGACTATGGCGCCGAGTGCAAACTGGTATGTGTCCCCCGTTGTCGCCCCCGATGTCTGTCAAGGCTCCTGATGCTGACGCGCCCAGTGCACGCGCCCGTTTACCGTCTTCTCGTGGAACGCCGACCGCAACCAGGGCCGCAAGAAGCGCACCAACATCTGCCTGACGTGCGCGCGCCTCAAGAACTGCTGCCAGAGCTGCATGCTCGACCTGTCCTTTGGCCTGCCCATTGCCGTGCGCGACGCCGCCCTCAAAATGGTCGCGCCCGGGCCCCAGTCCGACATCAACCGCGAGTACTTTGCCCAGAACAACGAGAAGCTCATCGAGGAGGGCAAGGCCGGCATCGAAGAGTACGAGAAGACGGACGACAAGGCCCGCGAGCTGCTCCGCCGCCTCGCCGCCAGCAAGCCGTACTTTCGCAAGGGCCGCACCGTCGACGAGTCGGAGCTCGCGGCGGCCGAGGGCAGCACGGCCGGGGGCAATGCCGCGGTAGGCGCGGGCGTCGGTGGGCCGGGGCCGATCCGAACACGAGACTCGCGCGCTGCCGCTGCCGCCGGGGCGAGGCCGCGCGGCGGAAAGGGCCGCTTCCCCAGTGCAGCCCAGCTGCCCCCGAGCCCCAAGGACTGGCTGCCTCCGGACGACAAGAACATCTTGTCGCTGTTCGTGACGGGTGTCGAAGACGACCTGCCAGAGCACAAACTGCGCGACTTCTTCAAAGTTCACGGCAAGATCAAGAGCTTGGTGTGCTCGCACATGTCGCACTGCGCATTCGTCAACTACGAGACGAGAGAGGCGGCCGAGAGAGCGGCGGCCGCCTGCCAGGGCCGCGCCGTCATCGCCGGATGTCCGCTGCGGATACGCTGGGGCCAGCCCAAGGCCATTGGCACCATGGACAGGGAGCAGCGCGGCCAGATGTTGCGCGACGCACGAATCGCCAAGTCAGGTGGCCAGCAGCGGGCCATCGAGGGCGGTTCCTCACAGCAAGGCGGCAGTGGCCAGGCTCGCATTGCCGCTCCGCCGACCGTGGCCGCGCCGCCGGGGGCCGACGAGGCGCCCAACTATGCCAGCCTCTCGGGCGACTAGCTGCCACGGCCATCCTCTCCAGCATTTCGTCGGTGCACGGCGTTTGGGGTTTACATGTGATTTGAATCGGAAATGCGAGCGGATAGAAGGGCAAAAGCGATGGGTCATGCATCTCGTTGGAATGAGAGGGTATCATGTTGTCAGCGTATACTGTATTGTACAGGTAGTGGTACAGAAAGTCCAGGCTTTTCAATCAAGTCTATGAAGCAGGCCTCATTTGCAGCCGCATCCTCCGCCGCCGCCCAGCGTGCCCATGCTGCCCATCTTTATGCTCTCGTTGTCTCCCCTTTCGGTGTGCTCGTGGATCCGCAGCTCTGCGCGCCGTTAGCTTGCGCGCCCTTTTGGGGGAGGGACGGAGAGGGACGGAGAGGGACGGAAAGTGGACGCACTGTAGGTGGCTTCCTCGTCGACGGCCCTCTTGCCCTGGACGACGTTTTCGCGCAGGATCTTGGCCACCTCGTCGGCGTGCTGCAGCGCGGCCTGCGTGTCGGAGCTCGACGAGTCGAGGGCCGACCGTTGGCGGAACTCGTGGCGGATCTGGTCCTGCGCGGCGGCCAGGACGGGGGCGTCGCCTGTGGTGATGTCTTGGTCAGAAGTCATGTTGCGGACGAAGATGCGCGAGAATGGCGCCGCGGGAGTGGCGACTGACCCTGAAAGGCTATGCGCGCGGCGCGCAAGAGGTTCCGGTATGCTACCAAAGCCATGGTGCTGACGGGTTGTCGTGATGGTTCGCCTGTGCCGTGCCTGCCTGTCGCAAAAAAGTAGGCTCGGCTGCTGCTTTGCCCGGCGGATGAGAAAGATGATCCAATGGTAGCGGCGGCTTGTGGAGCCCAGATCCGGACGGTTTCCGGCGCTCATTGGCTCCAGTGCTGCGGCCTCACTGGGCGACCGTCGTAGTAGCCACTGGTCCCGTCGTGGTGCCAAAGCGGCCGCAGAGCCACCTGAAGCGGCACCGCAAGTACCTACCAACCGCGGCAGAATTGCGCCACGAAAATGAAGATGTAGACGCCAAAATTGTACTATGTTGTTGAGAATTCTTCATTTAGTTTCTGCTCACCGTTTATGCAGCCGGTTTGGGTCTTGTTTCCCTGCATGTGATGCTGCGGTAGAAAGAGGCGGCGAGGTTTCGCGGCGCCGCTTTTTGCTCTGGCCACAGCAGCAACAGCACCAGGCACAGGGAATCGACCCCACCAAAATTTCGTGCGTAGAAAAAAAAGTTGCAACAGCGAGTGGCCTCTCTCTCGCCTCTACTTCCTGCTCCTCATCCCCATTGCCCCGTGTTGTGCCTCGCCGCTCCGCACACCGCAACCATGGCATCGGCTGCGCACATCACCATCCCGCTGCCGCTCCTGCCCGAGGGCTGGAGCGCCGAAAAGGACTTCAAGGCCATTGGCCAGCTGTCGGGCGCCACGCAGCGCAGCATCGAGCCCGTCGGCCCTCACTTCCTCGCCCACGCCCGCCGCTCCCGCAACAACCGCACCTTTTCCGAGGACGACCGCATCCAGGCGCAGGAGAACGCCAAGAAGATTGAGGATGGCGACGAAAGCGACGTCAGCGAGCCCGAGGACCCCATGATGCTGCAGTCGCAGGCCAAGGACTGGAAGGTGCGTCGATCCCCTCCCCTCCCAAGCACCAACACGAGTCCTTTTGTCCATAGCATTGCTGACCCATGACCTCTCCCCACCGTGCAGTCCCAGGACCACTACAAGATCCTCGGCATCTCCAAGTACCGCTGGAAGGCCACCGAGGACCAGATCAAAAAGGCCCACCGCAAGAAGGTGCTCAAGCACCACCCCGACAAGAAGGCCGCCCAGGGCGCCACCGAGGACGACCAGTTCTTCAAGTGCATCCAGAAGGCGACCGAGGTGCTGCTCGACCCCGCCAAGCGCCGCCAGTACGACTCGGTCGACGAGGAGGCCGACGTCGAGCCGCCGACCAAGAAGCAGCTGCAAAAGGGCGACTACTACAAGCTGTGGTCCAAGGTGTTCAAGTCGGAGGCGCGCTTCTCCAAGACGCACCCCGTCCCGACGTTTGGCGACGTCAACTCGACCAAGGAGCACGTCGAGGACTTTTACAACTTTTGGTACAACTTTGACAGCTGGCGCACCTTTGAGTACCTCGACGAGGACGTGCCCGACGACAACGAGAACCGCGACCAGAAGCGCCACGTCGAGCGCAAGAACACCAACGCCCGCAAGAAGAAGAAGGCCGAGGACAACGCCCGCCTGCGCAAGCTGCTCGACGACGCGTCCGCCGGCGACGAGCGCATCAAGCGCTTCCGCCAGGAGGCCAACGCCGCCAAGAACAAGAAGCGCCTCGACAAGGAGGCCGCCGAGAAGCGCGCCGCCGAGGAGGCCCAGGCCAAGAAGGAGGCCGACGAGAAGGCCGCCAAGGAGGCCGAGGAAAGGGCCAAGACGGACCGCGACGCCGCGAAGAAGGCCAAGGAGGCGGCCAAGAACGCCGTCAAGAAGAACAAGCGCGTCCTCAAGGGCTCCGTCAAGGACGCAAACTACTTTACCGGCGGTGACGCCTCGGCCGCCCAGATCGACGCCGTCCTCAACGACGTCGAGCTCGTCCAGGGCAAGATCGACCCCGACGAGATTGCCGCCCTCGCCGGCAAGCTCAACGGCCTGACGGTCGCCGATGAGATCAAGGGCGTCTGGGCCGGTGAGGTCAAGCGCCTGGTCGACGCGGGCAAGCTCAAGGACGGCGAGGCCAAGACGCTGGCTTAGAATGCTTTTGTCACAGCAGATAGAGTAGACGGTACATGACTGCACGGCACTACATAATAGATGGTTGCTCATTGCATTTGAGAGGGACTTCCCGAATGAATGGTCCTGTCATTTTTGAGACTGATTGTGTCGCGTGTATGTATGGTATATGTGTGGTGTTGATGCTCGTTTCAGAACCTGTACACGATGAGCCGAGATGAACACGCTACCCTGCAGCCAGTACGCCAACGCCGGCATGACCAACGACCAACTCTCCCCTGTAAAAATTCTTCGCTTCTCCGAGCTGTTAGCAGCCTGGTTGTGCGGGGTAATTCTGCAGGCCACCCGACCACGCTTTCGCCTCTGGGGTCCTACCGGGACCCTAACTCCTCGGAGGGAGGCACGATTGAAGACCTTAGGAGAGTTCATCTTCAATCGCACGAAGGCGTGGTCCTGCTTGACCGCACGTAGCTTCAGAACCAAGTCGCGTGCGGTTCCCAGCAGCTAGCTGCGGTCGGTTTTTCTCCTTGAAGGCAAGCCGCTCGTCGGCCTCTGATCCCTTCGGAAGGTTTTTCCCTCCCGCTACGCCTGGGCCGTTTCTGTCATCTGGTTCCTGGGGTGCAGACCGCGGCAGCGGTGTCGGCCGAGGCGCAAGAGAATTCTGGCTAGCAAAACCGAGGGTTGACCTCGCCTTGCACTCGTGGCCCCGAGCGATGTAAAGACGGTCATTGCTCACAGAGGCCGCGAGGGCGGGCAGCGCCTGGATCCCGCTGACGGGGAAGGGCCTCGCATTTTAGCGCCAAAGAGCCGAAGCCTATGCTGGATGGGCCGCTACTTATGGGAGTCTTCAGGCCTATGTGAGGAGCCGCGTCCTGGTAGCAAGGCCCGTCGCAACGCGGATTGATGGAGAATCCCAATGGACCGAATAAGTCTACAGCCGGTGGCCTATGTTAGGAGAGGATGCAGTAAATAGCACCTAGCTCAGCACGTCTTTTGTCCCGATAGGGAATACCCGCAAGACGTTAAATAAACACACACACACACACACACACACACATGACCAACGACGTCTATCCTTTATTATTCGCCCCTTCCTCCCTGCACTCTCGCCTTTTCTTTCGACGAGACAGCCACCGCGAGCCATCAACACGCTCACGCAGCCTCGCGGTCGAGCGACTGCCCCAGCACCATCTCGTAATACAGCCCCCGAGTGTCGAGCAGCTCGTCGTGCGTCCCGCGCTCCATGATCCGACCCTTGGCAAACACGACAATCATGTCGGCGTCGCGCACGGTGCTCAGGCGATGCGCCACGGCAATGGTCGTGCGACCGGCGGACGCGCGGTCGAGGGCCTCCTTGACGACCTTTTCGGACTCGGTGTCGAGCGCCGACGTGGCCTCGTCGAGCAGCAGCATCCTAGGCTTGCGGATCAGGGCGCGCGCAATGGCGATGCGCTGCCGCTGGCCGCCCGACAGCGAGAGGCCCTGGTTGCCGCACGGCGTGTCGAGCCCCTGCGGCAGCGACGCGACAAAGTCCCAGACGTTGGCGGCGCGGCACGCGGCCTCGACCTCGGCCGACGACGGCTCGCCGCGCTCGAGGCCCAGCGAGACGTTTTCGCGGATCGAGCCCTGGTACAGCACGGGCTCCTGCTGCACGAGGGCCACGTCGCGCCGGTAGCGGCACCGGTCGAGCGTCTTGATGTCGTCGCCGTTGGCGCGCAGCTCGCCCGACGACGGGTCGTAGAAGCGCTGCAGCAGGGCGATCATGGTCGACTTGCCGCAGCCGGACGCGCCGACAAAGGCCACCATCCTGCCCGACCGGATGGTGGCGTCGATGCCCCGGAGGACCTTGATCTTGGGCCGCAGCGGGTACGAAAACTCGACGGAATCGCAGACGACCTCGGTGCCCCTGGCGGTGGGGGTCGTTGCCGCGGCCGTCTCCTTTTCGTCTGTGCCGTGATGGCTGCTGCTCCCGCCGCCGCCGCAGCTCGCCTCGTCGTCAAACGGCGCGTCAAACAGCAGCCGCTGGCGGCGCAGCCGAAAGATGTAGTTGATGGCGCCGCGGGCCTTGGTGATGCTCGTCGTGTACTGGAACAGCATGGCGGCCGACTCGCCCGAGAAGACGACGGCGATGAAGACGGTGTAGAACTGGTCCGTCGAGTACTCGCCCGTGGACACGAGCTTGCCGCCGTACCAGAAGCCCAGCGCCATGGCGAGGAACGACACGGACTGGCTGAGGGCGTAGAAGAGCATCTTCCAGCCGAGGCTGCCGATGGCGGCGCCCGCGATGCCCCTCAGCCGCTCCTCGTAGCGCTCCACGACGGCGCGCTCGAGCGCCAGCGACGACACGGTCCGGATCCCCATGACGGCCTCGGCCGCCACGCCGCTGCTCTGCGCGAACCGCCCGGCCGTGTCGTCCTCGAACTTGAACTCGAGCCGGATCCGCACGTAGCCCGCGCCCACGAGCACGGGAAGCGCCCCAAACGCCAGCACGAGGCCGAGCTTCCACCCGACGGCGATGGCCAGCACCGACGACGACACGAGGTTGACGACGTTGATGACGAGCAGCGCCACGTTCATCGACAGCAGCTCCTGCAGCGACGTGGGCTCCGACGCCAGCCGCGACACGAGCGCCCCCGTCGAGTTGTCCGGGTCGTCGAAGAAGGCCATGTCCTGACGCAGCGTGTTGTCGAATATCTCGCCGCGGTAAAACTTCATGACGGTCTGCCTCTAACGTCAGCCGGGCTCTCTTCACC